AATGTCCTTTCCCTCAGGGATCATTTTCTGCCAAGTGAAAATTGGTGCCTTCTGGCCAGACACCCTGAGTCTGTCTGTGGAGTTTGGTCCCGCCCAGGGTGGGACTCAGGGAACCAAGATATGAGCGAGGCCAACTGACCTCCCTCCCTCAGCATCACCATGGTGGGCATACCCTCTCTGCTCACGAGGTCACACACTAGCCCTGGACACGGACCTCAGTCACTGTCCAGTGGCGAGACAACCGGTGTCCAGGCAGTTGGAGCTCCCTGTGACCGGGACTGCGATGGGGGACACACAGGCAGTGTGGGGTGTTGCTCTGCCTCCAGGTTGGAGGTTTTGTCTCAGGAGAACTGGGCAGAGGGGACACTCAGGCGGTGGAGGCAAGGATTCTGTGTGTTAGCACAGCTAAGGATGTCGAGGGGAGCCCGGCCCACAGGACCCTTGGAAACCGAGGCTGTGATTCTCTGTAGAGTGGGGTTTGGAAGGGAAGAAAGTGCAGGAGGGAAGGGGCAGATTTCGAAAGGGATAGAAACTTCCCCCTTTGTAGAGACAGTATGGGCGCCAGAACGGATTTCTTCATCACTGGTGTCTCAAGGGGCCGTGCTCCTCCTCATTGCTCCAGAGCATGGCCAGATCTGCCCACCTCTGGGTCTTTGCCAAAGCAAGCTCTACTTTCAGAATTTGGCTGTGCTGGAGACACAGAGCAAGGAATGCCAGTCTGGGGGTCGTCCACCTTCAAGGATGATGAGGATTTCATGAGAGAAGAAACATGCACCTGAATTCACAGAAGGTAAGTTTTAACAGTGTGGTGGGGGCTGGGAGGAAGAGACGGGAGTCCTGGGAGGTGGTGACTGTCCAGACGCAAGTCAGTTTTCTGGAAAGATTTGTTTTGGGAAACGTAAGGCACATACAAAGAAGTGTCCCCACAAGAACAGCTCAGTCATTAAGCAAAAAATGAAGACCCGGGGCCGACACCGAGTCATAGTGGTTAAGTGTGCTCACTCCGCTACTGGCGGGCCCAGGTTTGGATCCAGGGTGCCCACTGATGCACCGCTTGTCAGGCCATGCTGTGGCCGCGTCCCATATAAAGTAGAGGAAGATGGGCATGCATGTTACCCCAGGGCCAGTCTTGCTCAGCAAAAAAAGAAAAAAAAAGAGGAGGATTGGCATGGATGTTAGCTCACGGCTGATCTTCCTCACAAAAAAAAATAAACAAATAAAAAAGACCACCCACCAATTAGTAGAAGGTTAGGAGGGAGCACCCAGGACCTCCCCCTAGATCACCTTCCCTATCACCACAACCTACTCCCCACAGGGAGCCCCAGTCTCACTGTAATGTCATTTCTTTCCTTGCTTTGCTCTGTGGTTTTATCATCTGAACATGCTGCCTTTAACACTATGGCTTTGCACAGGTGTATCTTAAGACTTTGTATAAATAGAAAAATTATAGTCTGTTTTCTTCTATTCGACTTCATGAAGCTGCCCATCCCATAATATCCCCTTCCCAGAACTATCACCCAAAACCTGAGTAGAGTCAGTGCTGTGATCATGGAGAAGGAAGGTGTGGGGTTGGAGCCTGCATGGACACTCCCACACCATCACCATTTCCTGCATTTTCAGATGGAATCTCATCCTGCAGCTCCCTTCCCCTCCTGGGCCCCTGTGCTGGCCACTCACTCTCTCCCTGCAGGGGCAGCTGCAGCATCTGTGCTCAGAAGGGCCTGGCCACACCGATCCTGTTCCCATTGTTCCCAATATGCAAAGAAAAGCAGAAGAATTGGAAGGAGAGACATAGGGAAAAAACTAACTCTGTGCAAAAGAGGAAGTATAACCCACGGGCCATTAGAGCTGAGGGGCTGTCTAGCCTTACTTCACCAATTTGCAGAAAACACCGAAGTCCAGAGTAAGCAAGTCAGTTGGCCAAATCACACAGGTGCTCTGTCTCATGCACTATTCTCTGCACCTTGGGCCACTTCATCAATCTTTGTAAGCCCAGCTTTCCTTGGTTGAGAGGCAGGAAGTTTATGTTAATCTGGAAGGGAAGAATTTTCAACTCAACCCAAAAGGTGAGGGAGGAGTTTTAAATCATTCGTTCATTCATTCATTCAACAATCATGTAAATCATGCCTTCGTGTTTCGAGTAAGAGGGGTGAATATGACAGGTCTAGCCCTTGCCTTTGAGGAGAGCACCATCTGGTAGGGAGACAGGTTACCTGATAATTCCGGTGCCATAGGCTAGGTGGCTGTGATGGGGAAGCAAACCTGGGGTGGGTGGAGCTCCTGCTCTTCTGGACTGGAAGGTGAGTCTCATGGAGGACTGGGCCAAGTAGACATGGTAAAGACTCTCAGGGGGTCACGAGGGGTGTGAATTCTGCAGGTGATGCTGGTACCCTGAGAGTTGCTGGACTCTATTCAGATATTATCTTCTCTATACCACTCACTCCCATACTGTGCTGGAGATCCTCTGCCAACTCTCAGGATCTGTGCTCTGACTGTGACCAACCATACCTTTGACCCAGCCATCCTTAGATCACCACCCATAGCGGGCGCTCCTTCTGCCCAGGACTTACCTGGCTCCTCGGGATTCCTTAGGAAAGGGCAGTGGTGTTGATTCAGAGCTGAGTGTTGACTTTGGAGATGTCTGAAGCTCTGTGGAGGGGCCTGATCACACAGCACAGTGACCTTATGTCTGGAGTCAGGAGAATCAAGACATCAGCTGTGTTGGGCCAGTCCCGTGGCTTAGCAGTTAAGGGCGCACGCTCTGCTGCTGGCGGCCTGGGTCCGGATCCCGGTCGCGCACCGATGCACCACTTCTCTGGCCATGCTGAGGCTGCGTCACACATACAGCAACTAGAAGGATGTGCAGCTATGACATACAACTATCTCCTGGGACTTTGGGGGAAAAATAAATAAATAAAATTTAAAAAAAAAACATTGTTTAAAAAAAAGAGTCAGCTGTGCTGGGGAGGGCTCAGGTCTACCTGGGAGGAGGGCGAGACAGGGAGAATTCCTCTGTTTCTCCTCCTTTTCCTTCTGTCCACCCTCAGGAATGTCCTATGAACAATGTCAGGCTGTTGTCACGGGTCCAAGGGCAGGGAATGTGAAGGTTTTGTCCTGCAACTTTGCATATCTGTTCCCATTTCATTTTCCCAACGTGCCTAACAGAGAGGGATGTTCCCCTCATCAAGTGGAGGAGGCAGCTTAAATTCAGACAGGTGAGTAGCTGTAGCAACTATTCACCAAATACAACCCAAAACAATCCAGCCCCTCCTTCATACAAACATGGCGCTCCTTTCCTTAAAGGATGGAGTTTGTAATTAATATCTCCTCTCCTTGAACCTAGACAGGACCCATCACCTTTTGACCAATAGAATGTGGGGGACAAGATGTTCTGAGACTGATATGGCTCAGACATTAAGAAAGCCTGGCAGGTTCCACTCCCGCCTCATGGATTTCTGGGCATCTGTGTAAGCAACCACGGGGACTCTGATGGAGAGAGATGCTACATAGAGGAACACTCAGGGGTAAGATGTCCAGCCCCAGTCACTGCCACCATCCCAACGCAACTGCCTGAGAGAGCCCAAAGCAAATCTAGGGGTGAAACTGCCCAGCTGCGCTCTGGCCAATTTACAGAACAATGAGAATAAATAATAAACAATAGAATAAAATAATTGCTTGGGCCACTGTGTTTTAGGCTGATTTGATGTGCAGGGCGAGATAACTAACCAGCAGCCACGCAAATCATAGCTAATAGGGAAAAGGTTAAGTCGAAAGTTTACTCACCTGATGGATTTTTCCATTTACTATATTTAAAGGATGACTTTTAAACGGTTATTTGAAAGCTTCAGTGAACCTACCCGTGGAGGCTTTGCCAAGCCGACTACGTTTCCCAGCATCCCCTTCTCTCTGCTTGCAGGTTAAAGTGCGCCACAAGAGAAGGGAGAAGTGGAAGCTGCAGCCACCAGGCTCTGAGGGTCAGTGGAGGGGCAGGTGCTATGAAGCCCTTGCACATCATCACTGATGTTTGGCTCACCCTGCTGGTGTGATGTAACAGCTGCTCGACTGCTGGGAGGCAGGGAGGGGTAGGGGAAAGCGACTGACTGGATTTCGGGGGACAGGGACCACCAAGCCTCAGTACATGGATTGGTGACCCAGGTGGACACAGGTGGCCTAGAGAGTCATTTACAGTGACATGCAAAGGATCCAGGAGAAGAGCATCCCTAGTATTTCTCTCCTACTAAGACATTGTCCCAGGATCTCTTTGACCTGACAACTAGGACCATTTGCCTATTCATAGGAGCCCCATCTTCCCCAGGGCAAAGGGCAGGAAATGGCCCATCTCAGTATTCAGAATGCCCAGTGCCAAGCTGTGTGTCTGTCTGTCTTTCTGCGTGTGTATGCTCACCATTAGCCTCCGAGGCCAGTATGATGGCTAAATTTATGCGTCAACTTGACTGGGCTGTGGAATGCCCAAGTTAAGGATTATTTGTGCACGTGTCTGTGAGGGTGTTTCCAGATGAGATTGGCTTTTGACGTGGTGACCTCAGTAAAAAAGATTTCCCTCCCAAATGGGGGTGGGCACCATCCAATCCTTTGAGGCACTGCATAGATGCGAAAGCAGTACAGGACAAATTTCCAGAGAAATGTTCCAGGGTAAATTTCCAAGGTGGGGTCTCCTTCTCACAAGTCAGATTTCCAGAGTAACTGGATTACAGCATTCCTGGGAAATGCATCTCATGAGTTTAGGTCATGGTTAGGGAAGAGAAAGGGGCTGACGTCATTTTCTGGAGGGGGACGCTCTGTGTTGGAGCCTCCCAGGGGCCTGTGGGCCTCCCATTAACTTGGATGGAGAAAAGAATTCTTTTCTGGGACTTACCCTTCCTGTCACATTCAGGAACAGTTTCACATTTTGTAACTGTGTTTCATGTATTAAACGTGAGTAAGAGAATCAAACTCCATCCTCGCTCCCCACCCTGGACCCCTCTGGCTCCTGGTCCTCTCACCTTCCTACAGCATGGACTGCAGCAGCACTACCAACAACAGAAGTATCTCTTGAACCAAAATGCCAGCCACTGCCCTGGGACAATCTGGCCACCAGGGTCCCTCAGTATGGGAAGAATGGCTTGGGAAAAATAAGAGTAACTACAACAGGAAGTGAGTGAATAAGAACAGGATAGTAATTGTGCACATAAGTGCAAGTTCAGACCCACAACTTTCTCATGTCACCCACCTAGTAAATGGAGAAACCAGAATTTAATTCAAATTTCTCTTATTGTAAAGCTTATATTTATCCCCTACAGCAAAGAATTCCCATTAAGTTATTTATAATTCATTGATTAGAGATACATTTACTGCGTTAGAACCAGTGTTGAAGTCTCTCTTTCCCAGAGAAGCTCTGAGCTCTGGAACCTATTTGTCGTCTATCCTTCGAATACTGGGGGCTGATGGTCCTGTCCATCAGCTTGGCCCTCAAGCTTCAGTTGTAATACCTGAGGGAATTTTAGTGGAGCTCTTGAGCCCGTTATGGATTGATGAGAAAGGTCTATGGGCAGAGCTTGGCTATGGGGGAATGAGGACATACCATGTATGACCTCATCCTTCCCTTCACATGAACTTGGGACTCCAGCTGTGCTATGGCGTGGCAGATATCCCACTCCCATTAGTCCCACAGAAAAAAGATTGCTTCTTACCTGTACTATGTCACTGAAAGACAATGATGTCCATGGGAATGGAGTATCTGGGAAGAAACATAATAGTTCCCTCTGTA